CGCAAAAGCAAAGCACAAGCAGGCATGCGCTAAAAACAGAATACGCAAAAGCAAAGCACAAGCAGGCATGCGCCCAAACACACGTGAGAAGTTCGTTGGGCACTTGCGCATAAACTTTTAAAACTTTTTCAGCTCGTCTTACTTCGCAACCGACTTGGGGGTATAAGCTTCTCTACAAGTGCCCATCCGCTATCAGTCTCCGTAGGTACGGGAGCGCGTACGTCGCCTTTTGGCAGATGAGCGCAATCCTATCGCTTAAGAGCGAAATACACCACACAAGCGGTTTGACAAACCAAGCGAAATTTCCCTTTGCTTCAAGCCATTTGTGCTGTGTATGGGGGTGTTTGAAGGTTTGACAAACCGCTTGAGGGAAATTTGAGCAAAAATCAAAATTTTTTGATTTTCTGGCCGCCATGTTGATGTTTGATCAAACCGCTTGCGTTGTGTATAGCAAAATCGCCTCATTCGCAACGAAATTTTCACCGAGTAAGGACGTAAGAGAGGAAAATGAAAGAAAACCATAATATTTAGCATTGCGAACTGGAAGAAAACTAAAATTCTTTGCTTGAACGAGTCATGTTTGCATGGTGTATGGCGAAATGGGAAAAGTAGGTTTGAAGAATGTTTGACAAGCCGCTTGTGTGGTGTATTTCGCACCTTACGCAGAACGCCACATGGCCGGGGGGACTGTAGGAGGGGTCGTCACAGAGTGTAGATGCATCGTCACGCTTTGTAGACGTTGTCGTTGCTATTTGCAACGATGTACTCCCCTCGTACAGGTCCCAAGCAGTGTTGCCAGGTCTTCGGCATGAGAAAACGTCCCTCTTGGTATGAAAAACGTCATTTCCTACCCAAAAACGTCTTTTTCAAATGTATGCACACAGAATTGTTCTTATTAAACTTATTGTACACAAGTATATATGTAAGGTATATTAAAATCTCATTTCGTCAGATCACATTTAAAATTCATTGTAAACTGGTTTGAGATCGTTAATATAAAAAACTGTATACATATGTACACTTGTGATCACCTGATTAAGTCATCAATATTTTGATCGATTGTGGCTGTTTTTCTTTTGTTTATTTAATGTTTATTATTTTTCCATTATATAACAAACAAAATATAAGTCCACATTTCAAACTTTGTGCAAAAATTATAAAAAATCTGCAAAGTTTCAGCTAGATTTTCAACTTTTTATTCAGATTTTTAAGAATTTTTTTGAGTATGCAGTTTGATAGCCCATTATTTTCCAGGGTAATAATGTCCAAGTTTTAAATTGCTAAAGAATCGCGTTGATTTTTAATATCTTTTTTCTCTTGTAGACATTTGGTTAGGTGGTCGGTTGTTGAAAATGTTAAATTCCGTTCTGCTAAGAAGGAACATAGCAATATTTCAGCCTTTTTCGCGTTCATTGCATTTTCAATGAAGTTTTAAATGCGTATTACAATTCGAATAAAGTTACATCACAATTTTATAATTGGAATAATTTAGATAAATTTTCAAATAATAAGTCAGTTTCACGCTAGTTCTTTTAAAGTAAATTTGTGCATAACATTTAGATATCTACTATTTGTATGTTTCACAGCATGCTTTCGATAAACATCGACTTCACATCACTGCGGTTGTTCAGGCTATTTCACACAATTAACAAGAAAATGATACCTTATTCTTTTGCATAATCATGCAATGAAAATAAAAATTACATAAACGGATGATCAAGCTTGACATTATTTAATAAAAATGTAATTTTTCCAAAATATCGTAAAGAAAAATCGATACATTTTCACACTCGTTTTGCTATATCTTAAACTAAGTCGAAACTACTTAGTAGAAGTCTGAAATGCGACTATGAATAGAGGTAAATTTTAAGTTGGTACTTAAATTTAAGTTGCAACTTTGTTAGTTTCCACTTAGGACCTGTGCCAAATGATTGAAAAGAGAAAATTTTGACGGATCAAAGTAAAAATCTGACATTTCTCGTGGTGAATAAGAACGTCAGAATTTTACCTAGCTCATGGGGCTAGGTAAAATTTTGACAGCTTATAACCATGTATACACATAATATTGCTTGGCGGTAATAAGGAGTGAACATGAAAATGAAAGCTGAAACAGCATAAAAAAAGCGTACGTTACTTGCAAATTATAAAATAAATATAAATTTTAAAAATTTCAGCAACACACAAAAATAAAGCTTTCGCTCGAGCGTTTGTTCGGTTTTTCAACTGTCAAAATTTAACTCTGCATTTGGCACAGCAAAATTCAATTTATTTGTACACCATAGCAAATTTTTCCACCCCGTCTCACCACGGAGAAAAAAGTTACCGATTGGCACAGGCCCTTAGTTGCTGGACTATGAATACGCGCCTATATCTTCAAACATCGATAGTATGTTTGTAAAACACAAACCATCGATATATTGATAGTATCGTCGATATTTTTCCATCTCTATGACATATCTGTTGCGAAAAGTTTTGGTTCTTTAAGTTTATTAAAGTGCTTCGAATAAAGTATTCCTAAAATTACATTTATATTATGGATTTACCAGAATCAAGTGCGCAAAGCGATGGCGCCACCGACTTAAACAAGAAGCGTAAAAATCCATTCAGTACACAGCTCCGAAAAGAAGATAAAGAGCGCAGGCTAAAGAAGAAGGCTCGAATCATTGCCAGGAATATAAGCTATAAAGCTAAAGAAGACGTACTGCGAAAGCATTTTAGTCAATGGGGTAATGTTGAAGAGCTAAACCTTCTGAAGCGCCCAGACGGCAAATTAGTTGGATGTGCATTTGTACAATACAGCGCGGTTAATCAAGCATCCAAGGCAATTCTAAAAGGCAATAAACTGGACTTCCTAGGTCGGCCCTTGAACATTGATTGGGCCTTGGGCAAAGATGAGTACACAAACAAAAAGAATATAGCAAAAAAAGAGGAACCCGATGAGAAAAAACCCAAACTGGAAAATAAAACAGATGGACACAAATTTAATGAAATGTTTAAAGAGGTAACAATTACATTTTTCATATATGTAGTTTTTATTTAAGAATATATGTATTGTCAGGAAGAAGATAAATCGGATGAAGAAGATGACAAAAGCGACAGAAAAACGGATGATGAGGGCAAAAGTGCAATGGAGGATGAACTTTTTACGGATTCTGATGAAGACGAAAAGGGGTCAACATCTAAATTAAAAATCGGAAAAATTAACAAAGAAAAGCTTATTTCAAACGACGTTCAAAACGGATGCACCATTTTCATTAAAAATGTCCCTTTCGATGCAGAAGATACTGACATACGTAAAGTCTTTCGAAAGTTTGGTCCAGTCCATTATGCTATTGTTAATCGTGAGCCGATTTCCGGTCACTCCAAAGGAACGGCTTTTGTCAAATTTAAAAATAAAGCGTCGGCTGAACTTTGCCTGCAATCTGGGGCCGAAATCTCCCTGATGGATCAGTTTCTCGAACCATATCCGGCTTTAAGCAAGGATGAAATCCGAAACCAAGAAAGAATAAAATCTAATAAAGAAGTGGCAAAAGATTCGCGGAATCTATATTTAGCCAGAGAAGGATTGATTATGGCGAATTCCAAATCTGCTGAAGGGGTATCTGCATCTGACATGGCCAAGCGACACAAACTGGAGCAAATAAAAACTCAAGTACTGAAAAATCTTAATAGGTATTAATATTTTAAAGCTCTCGTTATCCTTTAAATTACATGCATTTTCCTCAATTTTAGATTTGTTTCACGAAACCGTTTATCCATTCATAATTTACCTCTTAATTTCGATAATGAAAAACTGAAGCGAATGGTTATTACTTATGCGGGATTTAGACCACACGAGTGCAGAGTTATGCGGGAAAACAAAATTACACCAGAGCATCCTAAAGGAAAATCAAAAGGCTTTGGATTTATGTCATTTAGCACACATCAAGAAGCACTGTCGGCATTGCGAAAACTAAACAATAACCCATCAATTTTCGGAACGCAACATGTAAGTTTCCATAGTGGATTTTATTGATCGCTAAAATATTAATAAGGTATGTATTGACTACCGTTTGATTGTTTAGCGCCCTATTGTCGCATTTAGTATTGAGGATCGTGCTGTGGAAAAAATCAAGGAGAAGAGGAAACAGAAATCAAAAATAAACAACCCCACATTCCTAGAAAAAATGGAAAAAATTAAAGAAAATAGAAAACTAAAAAAACAGGAAAAGCTATCTGAAAATACTAGGTTCCCTCAAAGTGACAATAAGGAAAAATTAAAGAAGCACATAAAAAAACTAGAAGAATCACGTTCTGTAAAAGCCAATGCTCAAAATAAACCGCAGTCCGTAGAAGAACTTGATAATTTTGTTGGTACAGCGGCCAAACCCGGTTCAAACATACGAATGCGATCAAACAAGAAAATTGCTGAGCAATCGCAGGAGCATAAGAAAAATGTTAAGGCAAAGAAACGTAAGGAAAAGGCTAAAAAGATTCGACAAATACATTTGGCTGAGCGCAAATCGATAGATAGACCGAAACAAGGAAAAAGAGAAGAACGCGATGATTTGGAACATCTGGTAAAGAAATATAAACTAATGATAGATAGTAGAGCTAATGTGGGTAGTACCGGAGAATCCCATGAAAAAGAATCTCAACTACCAAAACGAACCAAATGGTACACAGAATAATACATTTTTCCGACTAAATTTAGCTATTTTGTACATATGTATGTATTGTAGTAAGTAAATTTGAGTATTTCCTTTTTGGTTGTTGTTGTTTCCGACAGGGTGAGTGTATGATGTATTTTGGAACGACAAGGGATGACGGAAATTCGTTCCCAAATACATCATAAATTTGAATACTTAATAAAAAAAGATTTTCAATGTTACATTTCTACAATACTTTCTCAACCTTGAAAACAATGAAGAACTTAACGTTAGAAATTTACTAAGCAGCTGTCTTAATTCTTGAATAAACTGAAATCACCTAGTTACTGAGGGTCAGCTAGCATTGGGATTGTTATTTAATGAGCCAAACAGGTAGGCAGAATGACGACAACTGGCCTTTAAAAGCCACCGTTCGCGGTTACTCAGTGGCATTCTTTCAGGTAGAATAAAGAGAAAAAGATCTTTCAGTTGAGCTCCGAATTCATAAAAATAATTTTTTAGCGTTACATTAAAAATGGCACCAAGAGAACACTTCGAGTTCGTTATTTTACGCATGACATTTGTTAATTATATGTAAGTAGACATTAATAAATAAGCGCCAAAAATATTGATATTTTTTTAAATACATATAGTGATCCGCTTTATCCGCGCATCAGTTTGACAAGAAAAAAGCATTCACCCGGCGCATCTCTAACACAAGTGCGAGAATGGGTAAGGAATCTTGTATTCTCTAACATTACCAGACTAATTTATTAATGTTCATTCGTTCAAAGTTCGATCGGGTAATGTCGCGGGAGAAGATGAAATTACCTCCCAATGCGAATGTTCGGTATTCAGAGTGGCGAGTAATTTCTGGCAATTCTAATCTGTTTGTGGTTGATGGCCATCGCTTTGACAAAATAATAATTCTCATGGGTGAGGAGTCAAACCACTGGATGTTCTACCAAAGTGTGCCTCTTCATCGTCGCATTGAAGGCAGCGCCCGGTTACCTCTTACTTACTGTGGTTGTTGCTTAAACAACCAGTACTTGAATATAATGGATGCGATAAAAAAATGTTTATTAAAGCCAAGAGTTCGTTAAATAAAAATATACGTAAAAAAATTAAATTAAATTTTGATATGAAGTATTCTACCGATTGATTGAAGGGCGAAGAAATTATAGCAGCTTTGAGTCTCAAATAAGTAAAATATTAGCAATATATTAAATTATTTAAGCACTGTATTTTCTATGATTGCAATTCAAAATATAATAATTTCCAGTGAATGCTTATCCGAAAATCGGACGTAATTATAACCTTTTTTTTGTTTATTCCAGCCAGTGGAATCTAGCCCCATATTTGGCTGGTGGCCTGGGGTAATCATCGGGTAAACCAGGTGTAGCATCTGGATATTCCTTCTTTTGGGGTTTAGGTGGTGCTTCGCGCTCAGTTGAATGAATCTGTTGCAATTTATGCAAATTTATTTGATACAAATCTATAAAAAAAGTTTTGTATACATACCTTTGCACGAGTGAAATATCCATAATCGGGGCGATCAATACCCAAGTTATCAGAAACGCACTTATCAAACACACCTTGAGTATTTCGGCAACTATGAGCGTGAAACAGTTATTTGGTTTTTTTCCTGATCTATTTAAAAACTAAATAAAAAATACATTTCTTATACTCACTGTCCAAAAGCCATGTTGCCGCTACTTTTATCTAAGCAAGTTGCATATTGTAAAAACTCTTCATGGCAAGTTTTTTTCACCTTCCGGAAGAAATCCAAAGCACAGTTTGTTACAGCCTTTCCCTCACTTAAGCACGCTCTGGGATCATCCAGTTCTTGGCGGCATAGCATAAACTCCTATAAGAAAAATTTTATGAATTTTACATATTTTAATAAATAGTATTATTGATATGGTAAGCATTCCGGCAGTTGGATCAGCTGTTTACACAAATGTTGAGGTTAGACTTGGGAGAAAATTATATAACTAATTTCAATAGTAATGTTATATTTTCGATTTAACATAAAAGCAACGTGTAATGAGCATTCTATGAACTTACATTATTCTGATTTTCACACTGCTTTCCCAGATGAAATGCACCAGCTCGGAGTGCGGAGGTCGACAAGTTCAGCTCTTGTACGGTAAGTTCTTCATCCGTGGGTAAAGTGATATCATTAGTAATCACCATAACGCCAATTTAAGGGAGATATACAATTTTTGATAAAATTGTTTTTAATGATGTCTACACTGTCATAAATGGCAAACCCAAGTTTTTGTATTATCGCGTTCGAGCCCTCAAAACACTTGGCCGGTTGTATACGCTCTACATATGTTTTCCATCAATAATTCGATACATATGCTCGATAGCTACTATCCTTAACCCTTGTAATAATAGGTGTTGTAGTAGCACGGTGTAGCGAAACCAAAGAACGTAGATAACGAGTTGTCCCTTCTTGTTATCTACGTTCTTTGGCGAAATATTCTATTATTTTTGGTATAGTAGCAAATAGTAGGTACTAATTGTACTGGAACCTGGAAATTTTTACATGAACGAACGACACAAGATCACTCAAGAACAATAGAGTGAAAAAAGTCAATTTTTTGAGCGTAGAACCCGCCATCTTGTTTCGTTGAAAACAAGCGAAAAGTAAACAAAGAAAGTAAGCAAAAAAAACATCGAAAACCAAAATTTGTCAAAATTACTGTCAGTCATTTTAAGCACACAATTTCGGTAAAATTAATTATTAAAACGCTATAGAATATGTTGTCATGTTGAAATAACTCTTCTTTAGTTCAATAAATGTACATCATAGTGGTGCTTGTGATGTAAACCAAAACTCAGCTGACGAACCCGCTTTCGCAATCTTTTTTCTCAAAACCAATTACAAATGCAACGGCGCGTTCTTACCAGGGATGAGAAAAAGTAGGTACAATTGTACCTTTTTCCGACGTTTGCTGACCTTAAGGTATATTAGGTACAATCATTAGATTTTAGGTCATCTTTTGATCACATGAATTTTTTATTCTTATTTTCTTTTTATTTCATTTACTGTGATAATATATTTACTTGTCGGCATGGGTAAAAGTGGGGACAACTGGTCAAAAGGAAGAAATTCATATTATGTTGGTTGGTTGGTTGCAGTGCTTCCTAGTCGCTGCCCAGGACACAATAAATATCTTGTCTATGCACTTCCTATGTTGCTAGGTCGAACCATCCAAGGTTTTCGACCTGTTATAGTCAGGCCATAGTTTTCTCGCTATCTTACAAGTCTGTATATCTGACCACCTGCGTCTAGCCAGTTCAAGGAAATGCGTAGTAATCTCTCTTTGGACTACTCCAAGAGGGCAACCCAGTGCCACTGCCTGGGATTCATCCAAACCGGCTGCTGCCTTCGCCAACTCATCCGCCTTTCATTGCCTTCTATGTTCCTATGTCCGGGAACCCAGACAAGAGAGACGGTATTTGACTGAGACACTGAGCGCAATATTACTTTGCATTCCCCAACTAGCTTGGATTTGGTAACCGGTGACGCTATTGCCAATAGCGCCGCCTGGCTGTCAGAGTATATTGTTGCTTTCCTGCTGTGTCCAACTCTATTGCCTAGGATTTTGCAGGCTTCTAGGATCCCTAGGACTTCCGCTTGGAAGATGCTTGTATTATTTCCCAACCGTAGAGACAGAGCCACGCCGAGTTCCTTGGAGTAGACACCTGCTCCCACACCGCAATCCATCTTGGATCCATCGGTGTATATAGAGATCTTCTCTCGGTCGGCCACTCGGTCTCTTCTCCAGTCCCTTCTGGATGGGAATAGCACTTGCACGTTACAGCTGAAGTCCAAATTGCCTACCATATAATCTGTCGTCCTATTCAATTGCATTTGATTTATGATCAACCCATGTCCGACTCTCTGAGTCTGACCGCCGATTTCATAGCCACTTCTTTCAGGTGGAGATCAATAGGAATTAAATAGGATGGCGTTTAAAGCTTCTGCCGGCNCTAGCCGGAAAACGGCTAAAATGGCAACGCTGGTGCCAACCTCAATGTTATTAAATGCGCCCTCGATGTCAAGAAATGCCGCCAGAGTATATTGTTTAAAGTGCAACGATCTTTTTATTAAGCTCACCACTTCATGTAAAGCAGATTCAGTGAATTGATGTCTTGTGTTCGAAAGTAAACGGGCATCTTTCTGAGCTTTCTTGCTTCTTTACTGCTAGGAGCCTAACCCTCTGCCCTACAAAATCCTCTGCAACCTTCTTTGCCACCTGGACGAAGGAGGTCATACTACCGCTGGGAATTGACGTCGATGATACACCAACTCCGACGGTGAATAACCCCAAAATACTCGGAGTAACCTTCGACAGTCTGCTCTCCTTTTCTGCGTACGCAACCGCTATTGTCAACAAAGCACAGAGCCGCAACAAGGTCCTCAAGTCGCAAGCCAGCAGTATTTGGTTCAAAGACAAAGAAACGTCGCTGGCAACATACAAGGCAATAGGCCGGCCGGTTTTAAATTACGCAGCACCAGTGTGGTCGCCGGGGACTAGTAGGATGCAGTGGATGAAGCTGCAGACGTCACAAAACACTGCGCTTCGACAGCGACTGGATGCCTTCTGATGTCGCCAGAACACCACCTGCACGACGAGGCAAAAATGCTCCCTATAAAGGAGCATAACACAATGCTCTGCAAGCAGTTTCTAGTTGGGAGCCACAGACATGGCCACCCAAATAGACAACTGCTTGCAGAAGAGCCATCGCCCAGGCATGTCGGGAGGCATCTCTANGTGGCTGCTATTACAACATCATCCGCATACGCCACAACTTTGACTCCCCCTCTATTGAGTTCTAGCAATATACCGTTCAGGGCTATCACCCATAGCAGTGGTGAGAGCACTCTATCAAAGAGTCTATGATGGNCGACAGTCTGCTCTCCTTTTCTGCGTACGCAACCGCTATTGTCAACAAAGCACAGAGCCGCAACAAGGTCCTCAAGTCGCAAGCCAGCAGTATTTGGTTCAAAGACAAAGAAACGTCGCTGGCAACATACAAGGCAATAGGCCGGCCGGTTTTAAATTACGCAGCACCAGTGTGGTCGCCGGGGACTAGTAGGATGCAGTGGATGAAGCTGCAGACGTCACAAAACACTGCGCTTCGACAGCGACTGGATGCCTTCTGATGTCGCCAGAACACCACCTGCACGACGAGGCAAAAATGCTCCCTATAAAGGAGCATAACACAATGCTCTGCAAGCAGTTTCTAGTTGGGAGCCACAGACATGGCCACCCAAATAGACAACTGCTTGCAGAAGAGCCATCGCCCAGGCATGTCGGGAGGCATCTCTACGAACTAACGGACGAAGTCCAGAGGTTCATTAAACGACCTCTGAACCCGTCAGCATATCGACAGGCCCCGAACGGCACTCACAGGGAGTCAGTTTCAAATGATGATCCAGACCTATGAATTCCGTTCTAGGCGCACAACAACCGGACATCGACGAGACGGAGCTTCATCTACCTCGGGAGACTAGAACCACAATAGCAAAACTTCGCTCTGGCTACTGCAGCAGGTTAAACTCATACCTGAACAGATAAGACGCAGATGTGCCAAATGAGTGTCCGGCATGCGGAGAGAAATCCCACGACTCGGAACATCTCTTCGTATGCCCGGAAAATCCGACAACACTAACGCCTTTGTCCATGTGGAACGAGCCCATTGCGGCTGCACGCTTCTTAGGGCTTCCGTTCACAGTATATACAGCAGAGTTGTGAAAAATGCATTAAACTTTTTAATGCATAGCATTTTAATGTAAATGAAAAAGATGAATGCATTAATTTTTGATATTTAATGTAAATGAAAATTTCAATGCATTAATTCCGAAGAAATAATGCTAATGATTTTTTTTGTATTAACATTAAAATGTTGAAATGAATGCTATTGCAATAATTTATTGCATTAAAATTATAACAAGCATTAAAAACCCATTAACTAATTTTATTTTGAAGTAAAAAATCTTTTCTGACGTTGAGGGTAGAATTTTAAGGTCAAAAAAGATAGTGACGGACGTTAAGGCTAGTTTTCACTATTTCAAGTTCAATGGCATTTGTCGTTAAATAGGTAAAATCACATTGTCAAATGGAACTAAAAAACGGGTTATTGATTGATTTAGATCAGAGTAGGTCTTCAGTCGTGTACATGCGCTGCTAAACTGGCTATCTGTCCATTTTTGGCTCATACTTAATATATGTAATCGGTATGCATCAACAATCAACATAAAAATCTACAAAAGCACTCAGCGTTGCATGCACATTGGCTTTCATTTTCATAAAACATCTAACAATGTGTAGAAGAATTTTTCTACAAATACACATAATATAATGAAGCTGGAAAAACTATTAGTTATTATTCCAAGTCCTTCCCAAAGAGGTTATTTATATTTTACTAGAAAAAAATTTAATGGTTTTTAATAATGCAAACGAGCAAAAGTATTAAACATTTTAGTGCATTAAAACTTTTTCATTAGCATTAGCTTGGATAATTTAATGAAAAAAAAATTTCATTAGCATTACATTTTTCAGAATTAATGCATTGAAATATTCATTTGCATTAAATTTCATAAATTAATGCATTAATTTTTTACATTAACATTATTGGTTTAAATACCATTAATGCATTAAAAAATAAATGAATTTTTCACAACTCTGATATGGGTGTTTCCAGCGGAAGGTCCACCACGACAAAAAAAAATAAAAGTTTTATATCTAACGTATTTACGAGCCGATTTGTCTGCTTTTTAAAATATATACTGGCTATGTAAGTAGAATCATGTTTGCATAAAATGGTCTTCCTAGGTGTTTAGGTATTTATGGTCCGATTTGGTTCGAATTTGGCGTATGTGGTTGAAACATAATAAATCATAGATTTCTAATAAATTGACCCTGAATGAATTGGCGCTGAAGTCAAAATATAAAGTATATTCTACATAAAATACATGTTTTATTTGCGTTGAAAATTCATTTAAAAGCAATATTAACAAAAATATAACGATGGAAATTTATGTCACGTGACGCCACGTCACGTCACGTTTCACACTCGGGGTTGTAAAAGAGAATTGAAACAATTTGCATTAATTCAAAAAACTCTAAAAACAACTAAAATTGCTCCAAATCATATTAAAATAAGTTTCATGAAAATAGCCATCCACAATTCGCAGTTTTGCGATTTTGTAAGAAAAGAAAAAATCAACTTCCATTTTTTGTCACGTAACGACACTCTCTTTAAATGGTTACATTTCAGGACCAAGCAGTTCGATTGATTTCATTTTTCGGTTAAATATAGAGCTAATTATGTGCTATACAATGGCCCAAAAAAGTTAAAGAAAACGAATGGTTTTCCTTTTTTGTATCACATTGAAATCGTACGACCGTTACGTGCGCCACCATGGGAATGCCCATATACAGTAATAATCCTCTTTGAGGGTTGATAATGAGAAGGAGCATGAATTTTGCTGATTCAGAGTTGTGTACAAGATTCCTGTGGTATGAAAGGGAGCAACAACCGTACTATGGCAGAGTGGCACAGGCAATTTTGTAAACAAACACTTTTCTCATAATTTTAATAGACAATTGCTATTTATTTTCAAATATTCAGATATCCAGGTTGTAGCCAGAGGCAGTTGCATGTGAGGCTTACTGAAATTTTGTCATCATGTTGGAGCAGCTCCTGAATTTATAAATAGCAGTTACTATTGTATGTGTATATGATTCATATTTGTGACATTTTATACTTTAATGTTATGTATTCTTGAGGAGCTCCGGGTAATGGTCGCTTAAACTTGGGTGGCATTGGATTCTCTATAACAATACAAACCTTGTTTTTTTTTGAATAAAGACTTAAATATATTCGGAAATTTAGAATTTTACTTGATAAATTCACAAAATACACGTTTTTCGTTAAAATATAATCTTACAATGGATATTTGTTTAATCTTAAGCTTACATTAAAAAAACTGCATTCAGTGCTATAATTACGATTTAAAATTTCCAGTTTATAGAAACACAAGCCCTAATTATGTACTTAACTATTGATATTATTCTTAATTAATCATTAATATTATGGTTTTTGTTCATAAATATCACATTATTACATATATTTTATTCTCGAAAAAAATTTTTCGAAATTCCCCACAGTAAGTGTTGCCGTGAGCGCAAAACGAAAACGCTGCACACAACCCAAAAGTACTCCTCGGGGACCAATTGGTGAATAACTGCGAAAAGTTTTATTAGTCCCCTTTCAGACACGTCAAGTCTTGAAAGCAATTTTTTTCGCATTCTCTTTTGTGTTTTCTCTTTGCCTCCACACGCGTCATAATTTGATTTGCAAATATTTTCTAGTAAGTCCCACGCTGAAAATTGAATATGAGTTTGGCGAAATTATATTTGGGCAATTCACAAGGTGTCGTATTTGTCGTGTTTGTCGTGAAGTCATGATATTTCATGACAGTTGTAAAAATGTTGTTATTGTTTTGTGAAGAAAAATAACACATGACGATACAACTCTGCAACCTATGTTTATTCGGTGTTATGTGAGGTTAAGTGCTGAGATATAATAAATAATCGTAACAGGTGTTCAGAACCGTCGTGTTTTAACACAACTTTTGTTAGGAAAATATAACTTCACAACACCTTGTGAATTGCCCAATTATTTGTATTTCTTAGACAATGGCATATAAGTGGACCAGGGAAAGTATTGAGAAAATTTATATATTTGTACCGGGAGCATGAATGTCTTTACTCCGTGAGCTCCAAGGACTATTTAGACCGCCAGAAAAAAGCAATGGCGCTCCATGATATTCTAGCGAAGATGCAAGAGATTGATGGGTGCATAACGGTAGACGACCTTAAGAAAAAATGGAAAAGTTTGCGAACGCAATATCTGCAAGANCCATGATATTCTAGCGAAGATGCAAGAGATTGATGGGTGCATAACGGTAGACGACCTTAAGAAAAAATGGAAAAGTTTGCGAACGCAATATTTGCAAGAATGTCGGTCGGTGAAGAATTCCACAAAAAGTGGCGCTGGTGTTGATGATGTCCACTGTCCGAAGCTTTGGTGCTTTGATCAACTAAAATTTTTACACAATCATGTGTAATTCCGTCAAAGTGTTACTAATGTAAGTATATTTTATGCGATATAAACATGCTTATGACATTTATTTCAATGTATGCATATTTGTTGTATATGTTTCAGGTCGAAGAAGGTTCTGATGACGCTTCCTGTCCCTTAAGCACAGAAAAGGTTCAAAAAAAGCCGAAAATAACCACAGTGCAGTTTGCGGCTGAAATTAAAAACATGAAGAACATGATAGCTGACAGAAAAGCAAATAAAAATAAATTTGAGTGGTTGGGTCGGCAAGTGACTGAGCAGATGGAAGAGGTGGATGAGGAGTATAAGCCGCAAGCAGTTATGGAGGTTCAAGGTGTTATTAATAAATACTGGCAGAAAACCATAATAAAAAGAACTGCGTCATCATATTCCACTGCATCATCACCGTCTCCGATTCCTTCACGGGATATTTTAGAGGAATCAATGCGGGGTATTTTCAGCGATGAAGATTTTGATATTTAAAAAAATCGCCATCCACCGACAAAATCATTTAAGAGCCACCGCACACCACAGACCGCCGATTTAGTTGGGCTCGCTAGTGTTTCCATTGCAGCACAACTACTTAGTCGGGCGCGATTAAGTTGGTGTAGCGTTCGCACTTCCATACATCTTCATTTATTTGAAGCGAGCCCAACTAAATCGGCGGCTGATAAAGTCTGTGGTGTGCGGTGGCTCTTAGACATTTTTAAATGTGGCTTTAAAGTTTTAAAATCTGATAAAGTACAAAGTACAATGACTAAGTAACCTCTTTTTTTAAGTTATAAAATGAACTGAATTTTAAATTTTTTGTTTGTGTTTGTTATGTAATTCTCTTGTTTCTACCCAACAAGCAAATTAAACTTACAGAAAGTCTTATTAAAGTTTTGTATTAGAAACATTAAGCTTACAAAACGTTGATTTTTTGTTTATAAAACGCTTGAAAGTAAGCGTAATATAATCGAAAAGGAGCCTTGGTTATAAGCGTAGAAATATAAACTTACAATATATGCTGAAAAGAAAGCTTTTAATAAGCGTAAAAGTGTAAACTTATAATAAAGGTTAAAAAATTTGTTTATAAGCGTATGAATATAAACTTACTAAAAATTTTCAAAATAAAGCTTTTTATAAACGTTTTTATAACCCTTTATTTAAAGATATTTCATTAAAAACTCATACATAGATTGCTTACCATCTAGAAACTAAAAGAAATACGAATTTTCGGCGGACTCATCTACAGTCGCATTTTCATTTTTTTATATGGAAGAAAATAAGCAATACCATTACCAAACAAAAAAGGGCCAAAAAAATGCCATAAGTTGTAGATACTTCAGTGTTGGAATTTTTTATAAAAAAAATTAATGGGCTACAAAACTGCATACTCAGAATCTTTAAAGGAAAATCTTATTAAAAAAGCTAGAAATTTTTACGAAAGTTTGACCTTTTTTTTAATAATATTTGTATTATAGGGTAGGAACAACATATTAATATGAGCTTATAAATTATACTTTTTAATTTATAATTTGCCTTCTTCGTTAAAATATTCTGTGAACTCTTGCCTTATGTGTTCAGCTTCGCCTTTTCGTGGATTATATGGTACATCTGTATAAACTTCTGGGTTATTGCTAATACTTGCAGTTTCTAGGGGCGTGTTGATATATGTATTATCGGTTTGTAAAAGAAAATTATGAATTGCGATACAAGCCAATGTGACTTTTTCTACGGTGTCAACTTTTAGGTTCATTGTGGTTAAAAAAACTCGAAATCTATTGCTTAGGGTTCCAAACGCATGCTCAACAACATGCCTAGCTCGAGAGAGCCGTAAATTAAATATTTGTTTCTTTTTATTTTTCGTGTGATACGGATATGGCTTCATTGTGTGCTTTTGTAGCGGAAAAGCGTCGTCCTCTACAACAACATAGGGAACATTCCGTCCCCTTCCAATCAAAGAGCTTTTTGGCAAATGTTTTTTTTCTAAAATTTCTTTAAGGCGACTCTGTTGTAGCACACCAGCATCATTCGCACGCCCATTATTCCCTACATCCACAAATACCATACGGCAATTGGCATCAACTAAGGCCAATAGAATTACACTACTAGTGCCCTTGTAGTTACGATAAAATGCACCGTCCTTCCGCAGCGGCCGAAAGTTGATGTGCTTGCCGTCCAAGGCGCCTAAACAATTTGGAAATTGCCACTTTATGGCGAATTCTTTCGCTATAGCTTCCCATTCCGCAAAGTTGCTTGGCATCTTTAAATAATAAACTTATACAATTTATGTTTAGGAAAGACTAACAAATTTACGTACACGCAGGTGTTCCATTTTTCAAATAATATTTTCCACATTTCGGGTATGGTCTCGCTAATAAAGGACGTTGACAAACGTGTTTGGTAATTTAAACTTATAAACGTTTCACCTAAAATAAATATATTTGTTTAATGCACTACACTGTGATTTTCCTGCGATTACAGAACATACCAGTGGCAAGAAATCTCAACGTCACGGCCAACTTCTCCGCTGCAGAAATAGTTTCTCTTCTCAGCGAACTACGCCGCTCGATTTCTGGTTTAACCAGATCTCGTAAAATGTCAAATTGACTTTGGTTCAGCCTTAAATAATTTTTGAAACCCCCAGAATCTGAAGTGAGAAGTTCCTTGGTTAGGAACACAAAAGAGCCTCGATTATTCTTCTCAGCTCTCCACTCCTTTACCCACATACGTTTTCGTATTCTTCCCGGTAGTGCAGTAGCTTTTTCGCACAAATCAAGTAAGCCTTTTTCATAAAAATAATTAGTACATGCGTTTGTATTAAGTTTAAGTTCAATCTCTTACCATAAACAAATTCTTCATCGCTATCTTGTTCAATAAATTTGGTGGTAACGTCCAAGATTTCTCTTAAAATAATTTCTTTTTGGTATTCCATTTTTTGCATTTATGCCGCCTTCAGTGTCAAATTCCAAATGTCAAATTTTAAATGGGAAGCAACGAAAAGATCAAAAGAGACAAGAAAACTTTAAACGAATTGACGGTACGGAGGTATCTGTACTCTTCCCCTCTCTTCTCACCTCCTTCGCCTACGAACGAGCAGACTTGAAAGCAAGACTTGACGTGTCTGAAAGGCGACTTTTTACTGTATATACTGTGCTTCAAACACGGAAACTAGAGTTGCTTATTATCGGCGATGNAAGACTTGACGTGTCTGAAAGGCGACTTTTTACTGTATATACTGTGCTTCCGTTAGTCTGCGTTCAAACACGGAAACTAGAGTTGCTTATTATCGGCGATTTCTCCTTTGGTGTTGCCCCTTGCATTCACACACAGAAACTGTTTTGTACGCAATTGTTGTTGTCAGCTGTGAACCGTCAACTTGAAATAACTCAGACGAACGAGAGTACAAAGCGTGTTTCCCGAGTACGGGCGATTCGGTACCCGTCCCCTTTCCTCGTCGCTCTCTCCCCTACAAACTGCGAGTTTCCGCAGCAAAAGTTTTCGTGTCTGAACATCCATGGGCCACATGGGTCTGAACAAGGGCCGGCTGTCCAATGTCTGGTTATCATCACCATTATACTATCGACGATTTCGACATCATGCACATAACATGTGATCGATAAAGCAGTCGTTGTATTTAACCGGAGCTTCTACCTCCAATTAGTGCTAATCAGACATTGAACAACCGCCCCTTAGTGAAGCTTGGCGACAACGACTGAGGGCCGATTACTCAATGTCTGTTTAACACTAATCTGCGGTTAAACATCGTTATCGACGTCTTCGACTGCATGCATATAACAGGGAGTCGGTAACGTCGATAACGATGTTTAACCGCAGATTAGTGTTAACCAGACATTGAGTAACCGGCCCTGAGATATTAACCGTGTTGGGCGGGGTTTTTGTAGCAAGTAAGAGGTGGCAAAAATACATCGATGTTTTTCTTTGATTTGATGCATCGAAATGTACATCGATATTTTTCGATGCATCAAAGGGCATACATCGATACATCGATTTGCATAGGATTTCTCAGATAATAGGTGTGTACTCGTATTGGGACAAAATTATCCAGCAGAAATCTGGGAATTTAGCAGCATTCGCTCTCAAAGAGACAAAATATCCACAGAATTACGAGAACCCAAAATTTGCAAAAACTTACAGCCTTCGAAACAGCTGATCACTTTCACAGTTGCCACTGGTGGGTCATTTGGCAATTTAAATATTTTCTGCTTGGTACATTTTCCCCGATTTTGCATTTTATAGAATTGCATACATTTGGAGTCGATTAACCATTTTAAAATACTAATTAATTATATCGGAATGAATGAAATATTTTNTGCATTTTATAGAATTGCATACATTTGGAGTCGATTAACCATTTTAAAATGCTAATTAATTATATCGGAATGAATGAAATATTTTTCTCTAAATTATTTGTGATACCACATCATGACCCATTCAAAAATAAGAGAATATCCTTCAAACACCCGTCCTTGATTAAAAAAAAAATTAGTAGATATCTACAAATGTACTTTTAAAATTATAAAATTCTAATTTCAACAATCAACCTACCAAAACTGATAATTTCGACCAGCAAAATTCCAGCTGCATATTGGTATATTAAAAGGTATATTTAAAGGACAATTATGGTACAAACAAAAATGCCATTCGGCAACCATAGTCAGCAAACAATAAAGTAAACAAACTGGAGATTAATAGTAAATTAACTACAATATAACCAGTAAACAACATTCGGTGAATTTGGCGGCTGCCTTCCTCGGGGATGAATATGCTAGGGATGAAATTATTGGTACACACGCCTTCCAAGCACGCAGGGTTGCTTTTAACAAACAAAAAATAATTACCTTCAAATAGTTTCAAAAAGTATATTGTAAAACGAAATTTATTGAATAATTCCACATAAAATGGTATACATCATGGAACTTTTCTACNTTTTTTCTGTACAATTGAAAAACTGCAATAACGGTAGATTAATAGACGCGTCACTTTTCAAAAAACACCGATGCATCGATACATCGACTATTTATAAATCGATTTATAAATTTGCGATGCATCGAAGCAAAACATCGATATTTTCGATGTATCGATATTTTTCCGAAATCCCTAAATTCACCCAAGGTTGTGATTCGCGTGCTTAATCGAAACAAAAAATATGCATAACAATCCCTTTAGGCAAAAGCCCGGATCGTGTTCTAAGTACAAAGAACAATCATCTGGAGGAAAATGGAAAACAGGTAGTTCGAACAACAATTACGCATTCAGTAAAAAAGAAAGAGAATGGGGCAAGACCAAGTTTACACCAGTTGTTCGCATTCAAGCGGCGACTCCGTGGGCGACTTTCAAAAACGAAATAATTCAAAAGCAACACGAAGAAACTAAGGCTTCCAAAAATCTCAACATGGAAAGTGAAGAAGCTAAACAGTTTTTGAAGAAACGGGAAGAAAATTTTCGGCGTATGCAGATGATTGAAGCCAAGAAAGAGGATGTCTTATGGGAGGATTTTAGTGAACCTGTTCGGTGTAGAGAAAACGGTAATCAAACGAAGAAAAGCGAAAAATTTTGTAGTGAAAGAAGTCAACCAAATATAAAAATGCCATCTAAACCCAATCGTTCTAAGAAACCAGTTCCGTTAGTGGACAACAGCTTGCTAAGAAACTTTGACAGCAAGAAACTCTCTTTTAAACAGAATAATACCTTACGCAGAGTTATCACAAAAACTACAAATTTTGCAAGAGGAAGTACGCTTGAAGCAGTAGTCAAAGACTTGAAAAGATGTGGAGTTAAACGAAAACAACCAAAAAGAGATTAGATCTTAATGTATACATAAGAACCCAATAAACTATTTTTAATTGAAAACTTCAAATAATACACTTTTTAAGATATCATCGCCTGGATAAAAGCTTATACGGTGTTCGCATGAGGCGATTTTCCAGAAAATTTTAGAGGCGATTAGTTGAATCAAAAGTTGGCTGCCACATTCATTGGAAGCGATTAGGGGTGGGGTTTAGTAGCGCCCCCAACTATTTCGGGCTATTCCATCCAAAGGGGTGGCCCGATCCACGCACTCAAGTCAAGGGTCTACACATTATTTTAACACCCACTTTTGTAATTTTAGGTCACCAATTTATTTACAAATTGGGTTTGAAATATGCCCTTTTTTGTAAAATTCGGAAATTAGCGTACATTTATCACTCCTATTCTTCTTAAAGCAGCCACTTCAATATATTTTTGTATTCCCCTTCACTTTACACTTTACTCGATTAGTTATAACTTTCTTTACGACTTTAATATTAACCAATTAATCACAATTCATTAAATAAAAACACCAAAATCACGCGTCTGACTTTGGTTGCATATGCAAATTAAATGGAGTTCAGCAGTCAAACTCCAAAATATGCAAAAGAATGAGAGACAAAAGAAGATAGGATATAACCCAGTAGCATTAAAAATATACAAAGGCGTTCTCAGCAAAAGGTGTTCAGCTCCTTTTCTTCGCAAAACAGAAAGAATTCTATTTTGTGAGGGTTATAATCCCTAAGTGCGGCCAAAGGCCGCCTACGCAGAAAGGTTTTCTCTGCAAAAGGTGTTCAGCTCCTTCGCAAAACAGAAAGAGAATTCTACTTTGTGAGGAAGGAATTCTACGCAAAAATACATTTGTTAAAAGGAACATTTTTTTTATAAAAACTTGTTTTTTCTATGTTAAATTAACTTTTTTATTCTTTATTCAAAATCGCCCGATATCTAATTTGGCATTATTTCTTTTATTAAAAAATCCCACGGTTTCTGTTAGTTGGGTCATATTCCATTTCAAACTGCTCAGTTTGCCTAAGAAAATTCCGTTTTTCCCCCTTTTTCAAACGGTTCTCTAGGGGCCTGTGGGAGGAGCCCAAGGGGGCGTACGCCTTTTTAGAAAGTGGGGACTGTCCCCTTTCTAGTGGGGGGTTTGGGGGGGTTGCTGTAAAATCGCCTCAAGAGGCCATTCCATTTTTAACCGACTTCCAAAAAAGGAGGAGGTTATCAGTTCCTCGGAATATTATTTTTTTTTATGTATGTTACCGCATAACTTTGGACCACGTAACCTGAATTCGATAATTCTAATAACATAACATAAGTTAACATAAAGGTTGTTTGTAACAGCCTAAAGGAATCGAGATAGATGTAGACCAGGGGTCTACGACAGACTCGACGGGGTCTACGCTGGCATGAAAAAAATATCGGGGTCCACGAGTGCTAAGTGGGGTCCACGAAAGTTTTTCTGGTTTCGGTAGTAAAGATCCAAAATGGTTGCTTGATAACCTATATATTAAACTTAAATTTTTTTGAGTGGTGTATAGTGCTCTTGACATACTGCTGCACTCACCGTCACTTTGTGTCTTGATACGTGGGGAAGCCTTAAAAGCCACATGCAGACTAAAAAGAAACGGATGTTGGTATAACACTGAGTGGTGCGAGGCGGAAGTTGCTGGCGGCAGAGATTTGAGCACTTGTGTCTTTTCAATGCTACAGGATAGTACGCCACTATTACCTTTGTTGAAGAGATTCTATAATATTAACTTCCCTGAGGCTGAGTGCTGGTTTACTTCCAGCATTGAGCTCGGACTCGCACATTGTCAAACAAGTTCGGCAATGCAAGTCTCGACTAAAGCACCAAAGCTTCGGACAGTGGACATCATCACCACCAGCGCGACTTTTTTGTAATTCTTCACCGACTGATATTCTTGCATATATTGCGTACGCAAACTTCCATTTTTTCTTAAGGTCGTCTACCGTTATGCATTCATCAATTTCTTGCATCGGCGCTAGAACATCATGGAGTGCCATTGCTTTTTTTTTGCGGTCTAAATAGTCCTTGAAGCTCACGGAGTAAAGACATTCATGCTCCTGGTACAAATATATACATTTCTCAATACTTTCCCTCGTCCACTTATATGCCAATGTCTAA